GTCTCAGAGCACTTTAGCTTCTTAATTCTCAATTATTTTGTCTATTTTGTGATCCCACCAGTTCTTGCTTGCAGACAAAGGGTATTTCTTGCAGGTTTTCCAATGAACCGTTGTTGCTACTTTGTCATGCCATTGTTTATAGTCAGTCTGTGCAATCTGTTTCTTCAGTTTTTGTTTGTTTGTTTGTTTGTTTGTTTTTGAAGAGGAGGCATTTGCTTTCTCTTGCTGTCCTCTCAGTTCTGGCTCTGTATGCATTTGTTCTTCTTAAGACATGGTCTTGCAACTGGAATTAGCCCTTCTGTCTCTTTCTTCAATTTTCCTGATTTTACCTATTGATAGTCTTGTTTTGCCTGCCTTATTATGTACTCTTGAGTATTTGTTATGCTCGATCTCCATTATGATGTTATTGTGATTTTATATTATTATTTAGGAGTTGGTTTGATTTTCATCATACTTAAATGCCAACAATTTCTACCTACATGTTTCTTGAACTCCCAATCAATGTAATGATTGGAGATAAAAATAGGTAGGAACCAAATAAAAAGTGCAGAATAATATGAATGACAGCATTCTGACAGTAATCAGGAGATGGAATGAGATCTCAGGTGATCCAACAATAAGCTACTAAAATAATTCACACATGACAGAGTATAAGCAAAATGTCTCACTTAGGAAGAACTGATAGATAATGCAGCATTCAATAAGTGGAAATAGTAAATTATAATAGTTTTTTTTCATAAAATTTCCATCAATTTGGACTCCTGGTTTTTCATAATAGCAGAGATTCCCAGCTGGCAGCCCTGGAACTCAGAGTGACCAATTAAAAAGGGATGAGATGATCAGAATGTAGTAACCTGTTTTTAGCTATGTTAAGTTTAAGATGGTGGCAATACATCCAATCTAAAATCCCACCTAAGCAATTGTAAGGAATTATCCATTTTGTAGGCAAGGCAAGCTTAGACAAATAAATCTGAGATTTTGATATATAGATTTAAATTTGCAAGAGTAAATTTGCCTTTGTTGATTTAAATACTGATGTCATGGTTCCGACTAATGAAGCACTTCAAAGAACTTCCAGGCATGTTTATCCTAAAGCCTTTATTACCAGTGTTACAAATACACAGCACATCATGGAGATTTATGCCAGAATCCCTCTTGCTGGCATCTAACTTTTCTTGCTAAACCCCTCCCTTATCTTGCAGTCACAAGTTACATCTTCCAATTATCCCGTTCCTTTCCCCTGGCTTTTGTTATTTCCTCTCCCTTTTCTCTGTCATCTGAATTAACTCTAAAAATACCAGACAGTTCTGCATATTTTGTCAAAGCAAGAATATTCAATATTAGCAGCGTTGACAACTGACTTTGCAAGGGAGCCTACACAGGCCACATATTATAGCAGGCAATTCTTCTTTTTGATGCAAAAAGCTGTCATATTTCATCATGGACAGAGTCACTTAACCTAATCCTTATAAAACAGTATCTGTACATGTTGTGTAGTGAATATATAAACGCTAGGGCTAAAATATCAGGCATTTCAAAATGTTGAGGGGTGTGTGTGTGTGTGTGTATAAACATTCTTTTGGGGTAGATCATCATGTGGAAAATGGCCACCATGGCAACTTAAACAGGTACCAAGCACCAATTTTCTGCCATACTCTCTATCTCCTCCCTCTCCTCGTTGCAGTGCTACTTTTTCTTATTTTTATCCTTTTCCCAGACATGTGGACACACTTGCAAACAAAGCACAAGACATGTCCCTAAGGTGCTTTTCAAAAGGCAGCTGAATATCAGAACTAAAGAAGTTTCTTGGATGAGAAGCAAGCTGTTTTAAAAGAAGCTTCCGCCTTTGGAAAAGGACTTTGGGATAACCATGACCTGGATGATTGAGAATCTCCATAGACATAAAGAACAAGTCACTTTTTCTCACTTGTCCAACATTTGTATATCTTTAAAAGAGTAATAGCGCTCATCTGAGCCCTGGAGGCTCTGTTGGTAATAAAGAGGGTGTTGGAGGTTTGGCCTTCTTTTGTTAGCATCCTATTTTTGTTCGATTAATTGGATCCACATATTGCACTAAGGCATAATGTGATTTAACTCAGCACTTCAAAGGGGCAAGGGCAGATACTGAACTATAAGCAACCTATCTCAGTGGAAAATCAATCATCTCTGAAGTATGTGATGATTGTCCTTTCCGACATGATTTTTTACAGCCTTCCTGGTGTAGAATACTGTAGATCTTTAGCTCAGCTCAGTAATTCAGGCAACAATTTACCTTCTTCATTCAGGAGAGATAATTATAAGATCCGATCCTGAGGATCAGCCATGCACTTAATATTCTAAAATAAGAACCTTCAACATTAGTGTTTTGAGAGATTTATTGATTTGCTGAACCTTAAATGAAGGTTCTCCCAAAGCCATGAGCTTGCTCTGTCAGCCTTGTTCTGTTGGAGAAGAAGGAGAAAGCCAATAAAGGTAAACAGAAAAGAAACAGATAGTATTGGCAATGTAAGCCACTCTGCATATTGGAAATAATCCCAAAAGATGTGTAAGTAAGCATTTCTCACTATGGTCAAATTTGGTGCAAATCAATAGGTATTGTGAGGGCGGGGAAATCTACTAGTAGTATTCATTAATACTTCCATAGAATAACCTTCCTGATTAAAGGAGAATCCAACTTGTAAGAAGGAAGACTGCTGAGCTATTTTATTAAGCAATTTTTGATTGAGATATGCAAATATTAATTTTGTGCTCTGAAAAAGCTTTGTGAAACTGATGATGGCAGTGAGACCCCCAGATCTGGGATGAAATTGCGAACTTTCTCACTTTGGATTTCATCGACCCAATCCCCTACTCCCAGTAATAAGCTTGGCACATTTTCAAGAGGAAATGTTATTTCAACTCATAGGTATAGAAGAAGAAAAAGATTTATCCAAAGTCATGGATTTGCAAAGATGATCAAAGTGGATGTTATCATTTCTAATACTTAGCATAGGAATTTAACAAACTCTAGAATCTAGACCATATTAGGTGAAAAGCTTATCTAAAACAATTTTTTATTATTCCCTCTTTCACCAATTAGGTACCAGTGAGAAACATATATCTAAAATGTACAGTGTTTGGTTTTGTCTATAACTTGAAACAAGGTCGTTCCAAAATGGCATTGTCTCCTCATGCACCACTTGAAATATGTGTTCTTACTCAGATATTGACAAGTTCTGCGCTCCATGCACCTTCCCCTTCTCAGTAACCTTTTTATAGCCTTGTGAGACTGTTCAAGGGTTTCAGCTCAAACAAATGAGTCCTGAATTAATTTTATACTTGGAATTGATTCATTTTTATTTCTCTGTTTTCACTTCTGAAGAGAATACAAACCATTCATTTCATTTTCCATTTGCTTTACAAATAAATGAACACCTTCATTTTTAAATGAAAAGAGCCATCCAATGGATCCTTTTTAAAAATTGCACATGCAGCAATTGCAGTTTAAGCAGCACCTGTAGGAAGGATCTTCTAAAACTCAAAGACCTCCAAGAAATGACATAAAATTAAGATTGACAACCCAGAACTGATTCCCTATGTGGTGGAAATGTAACATCAGAGTCTATCTTGAACCATAATTGTATTTTTATATGTTGTTAGATTGAAATCCCACCCTTCCTCTTAGGATTCATAGCACTCCCTCTTCCCATTCCCCCCCCCCCCCGTGAGACAAGCGGAACTGAGAGAGAGCTTTGCCCAAAATCACCTAATTTTGTTTCCATGTCTGAGGAGAGACCTATCTCAGTCCTAGTCTAACATCATGGGCCAAATGTTCCTCATGCTGGCTGAGGAATTCAGGATATTGAAGACTTCACAATTTAAAGTTGCCAAGGTTGAGTATCATTGATGTAGGCTATCTCATATGATATCCATAGAATTTAATGTTGGTTTTTCTCTAGAGCAAATCCATGTATGCTATGACTATTTCAGAACTGTGATGACTACTGGATTCTGCTATGTGTTGTGAAGTAAGATGATTTGGTCTGGTCTACTTGTTTGGGTTTTCTGGCTTTTGATGAATGGCTGATTGTGGAGCATCCACAAAAACAGAGAAATCATGTGACTTTCTGTATTAGACCTGTTTTTTCAATGGTGACTAGTGATATAGGGTGATGACCCTATGTCTATGCTTTCTCCTTTGTGATCTGTTTAAATAGGTGTTTAATGAAGAGTCTCTTATATTTAGGGAATTTTAAAGAGGAAAATATTAATGGGATCTTGGATTGGGATAGTCAAATGACTTGCTGAAATATTGGGCTGTATAATAACAGAATTATCAACAGTTTTTCAAGGAAAGCCCAAATGCCTATCATGAAATAGAAATGCTTCTGAGATTTTAAATTCCCCAGCTTTTTTTTTCTTCCTTGTGCTATGTGCAATTTACAATTAAAGATACTGCAAGATCTCTTCTGAGCAAGAAAGCATAAATATGATCCATTTGGATCTCTCTCTAAAGATCCCAGTAAGAAAATGTTTTGCTTTCAACTTCTTAGACAGTTACTGTACTTAACATACGTTACACCAGTGATTCTCAACCTTTCTAATGCCGTGACCCCATAATACAGTTCCCCATGTTGTGGTGACCCCCAAATGGGTGTGGCCACCAATAAGAGGGAGTAAGACAGCTAGGGAAAAGGGAAAAAAATGGCGGACAGCATGGTTTGGTGACCCCCGTGAAATGGTCATTCGACCCCAAATGGGGTCCCGACCCACAGGTTGAGAACCACTGCGTTACACCATAAAATGCTACCATGGAAAACATCCTGGCAATTGACATTGTCCATCTTGCTGCATGTTAAGTCTCATAGTTAATCCTGTTTATTTTAATTTATGGTTGATTAAATGTTTTTGCAGTCCATAAGCCTGGGTATGTTGTATTGAGAGAAGGCTATTTTAGGTGTTTTAAAGGTATTAACCCTATGCTGAAATAACAACATGCAATTCTGCATGTGTCATTTCAGAGGTCCATATGGGCTGAGTGCCTAACTATCCTTGAGAATCCAGAGGAGGCTGCAAGATATTTAAGAGAGGAAACCAGGCTGTTGCAGAAAAGAACAGAAGAACTTCAGGAGCTTAAGAGCCTTTAATTACACTACATGTAAGTTGTGTGGGAGAATAACTTTGATAGGCTTTCATGGCTTTTTACAGTGCCTTTCTAGCAAGAAAGCCAGAAATCCAAATGGCTCTTGTCTCCTGAGCTTACCAGGCCCAGAGAATTTTACTAATCCCCATTGAGTTAAATGGTACTTATTTCAGAAAATGAAATGTAGAATCATATCATGGCTCATAACTTAATTTTTTTAAAAAAGATTTGGAAATTCTGAATTTGTGTGAAAAAGAATTATTGTCAATATCTAATAATCCTGTATAATAGGTGGTAGCAATTCAAGCCCTAACAAATTGCAGAGATGTAACCTTATTCCATCCCCTATCCTAGTCAGTTGCACACATAGAAATAGTTTCGGCATCAAGGATCCTTTTGCATTTAGATAGGGTCTCCCCACAGTTTATAACCTTGGTTTTCTCTAATTAACTCATTTGTCCTTTTAATCTGTTTTATTGGATCAAGTGGGCTTGAAATTCAATAGTATTTCTGTTTGCATGTACTAAATAATTATAGTATTTAAATTAATAAGCTGCTACACCTTCTAAACTCCTTATGCAAAATAGAAGTGATGAGGGCAGGAAAGAGAAATAAAGTGGGTTACACTAAGGGCTGAAATTGGCAAGAGAAAACTGGAAAGAGGCACCAACCAGTCGTGCCCATGCCTTGCAAGCATCTTCTGCATTTCATCTGGGGAAAGTGCAACAAAGCATCCATTAACTTGAAGAGTCGTAAGAAAGAAACCTAGGATTTAAACTCTGTGGGCTTGATAGATGGAAAAACAGATACGTCAGAGATGTGACTTATTTAGGTTTGCAGTAAAGCATTTGTCTAATTATACTGAGGCTCTGAGACTTGTAGGCTCTGCTCTTAACTAGTTACTCAATGCAGGTGGTCAAACATCTGCGATTTATGAAGTAAATTACCTCTACAGGACCTCTTAACACTGAGGGAATAAAGGCAGGTGCAAAGGGAACTACTGTTTGCTAAAGATGGGTAGATAGAAATGTGTGTGTGTGAGAGAGAGAGAGAGAGTGACTATATATATATTTTCTGAGGTTTTTGCAGGTGTTTGTATGTAGGTCTTTGGTTATTCAGGTTTTCTCCTGCGTAAAATTGAAAGTGTCTTGGCGACGTTTTATAACATCCAATGGATACCAAAGAAATAAGATTACAAACCTAATCCAAAAAGAAACCCTCACTAAAATCCAAGACAGAGAACAAGAAAACGGCAAAGCCCTCCTCCCATACATAAAAGGCACCACAGACAGAATCAGCAAGATCCTCCATAAACACAACATCAAAACAGCATTCTGCACAAACAGAAAAATATCCACCATCCTGAGAAACCCCAAAGATAAAATTGAATTAGAAAATCAAGGAGTATATGAAATCCCATGCACCACTTGTCCCACCACATACATTGGACAAACCAACAGAAGAATAAGTGCACGCATTGAAGAACATAAGAACTCAGTCAAAAAAGAGGAACCAACATCTTCCCTGGTCCAACACCTTAAAGCCACAGGACATGAAATTGACTTTAAAAATACCAGAACTATCGCCAAAACTGAACATTTTAATAACAGAATAATCAGAGAAGCCATCGAGATAGAAAAACGCCCACACAGCATGAACAAACGAGATGATACCTCCTGCCTACCAGCCATTTGGAAACCTGCCCTTATTGACAAAAGACTCCCTAACACAAAAAATGACACCAGACCCACACTCACAAAAACCACACAGGATGTCACCACCACACATCCATGCAAAAAGCAAACCCAAAACCACACCAATGATGAGGCACGACCACAAACCAGAAGCCAGACCACAGCTGCATCATTAGCCACTTTAAACCCCTCCAATCCATACATGAAGCAAACTGACACCCACCATGAAGATGAGGCACGACCACGAACACACCATTTTAAACCCCCCTGCAACTTAGACTAACCTGAGCACAACAAAGCCCCCACCCAAACAGAACACTCCCCCAGCCAATCAGAGCACAGCCAACCCCCCAGCCAATCAGAGTACAGCCAACCCCCCAGCCAATCAGAGCACAGCCAAGCCCCTAACCAATCAGAACACACCTCCACCCAATCAGAACATAGCCAAGCTCCCACCCAATCAGTTCATACCCCCACTGGCAGTTAAAAGGAAGAAACAGCTAAGACCACACATTGCTCCTCGAAGCACGAAGCTGAAAACACCAGCCTGAAGATGACGAATGGGACTTCGTCAAAACATCGCCAAGACACTTCCAATTTTACGCAGGAGAAAACCCGATATGTATGTATGTATGTATGTATGTTAACAATTACACTAAAAATATGATCCCTGGGTATATCCATGTTTAAAACGAAACAAATAAATGTGAGCAACAGGGAATGCTTAAGAATTTATGTTGGGGAGACCGCCAAGAGAGTAAGAACCAGGGTCCATGAACATAAATTAGCGGTAAAGAGGGGCAAACAATACTCTCAGATTGCGGCACATATGACTGAATCAGGCCACTGATTTGACTTTGAAAATGTACATGTCTTGGCTAGTGACAATACGAAAGGGGGCCGCTTGCTTAAAGAAGCATGGCTATCCAATCCAATAAGGATTCTATTAATCGGCATATCGATCTTTGCCCAGCCCACTTAACGCTGAGAGCTTGGAGCATGGGTAATTCCCCACCCCACTGGAGACACCCTAAAGAAATACCTAATATATCAATGGAGAGGATTGTGGAGAAGAATTCCCCCTCTCACCATCCACAGCCCGGGAGTACTCAGACAGAACGCAAACAACGATCGAGACCTCCCCCCCCAGAATGGTTAGACATCTCCGAGCATCTGAAGGAGCGTCGGGAGACATAGGAGCACTAACATGTGGACCAGGAATCTGCACGCACCCCCCAGGATATCCGGAGAGGAGAGCGTCGCCTGATAAGAGGTCCACATCTAAAATACCCTTGGCGGGGACACTGAATTGCCTGCCATGTTTGGGAGAAGAAAGGGTAACTTCTCCAGCCCTACTGCCTGTAACAACTCGATCACTCCATTCAGCAGCACCAACCCAAATGCGTCAACGGGAGATGTGGAATGAACCCGATGAAGATGCATATGGGAGGAACATCGAGAGTGGAGGGGAGAGGGCAACGAAGACTGATACTCCTGATTGCTGTATAGAGAGCATCCAGGGTGAGTTGGTTAAAACTAGGATGGAATACACAAAGATCGGAGATAAGAAAGGAGACGCCTGGGAGCAACAACTACCAGATCGTACTCTAAAAGGGGAGAAACAACCTCATTAGCATGTTTGGGGAATACGACACGCCCACCCCACCTTGTAATGCCAATCCATCCATATCAACAGACAACACGGAAGAGCCCTCAAGCCTCCGTGCAAGCAAGGAGTAAGGAGGAAATAAGGGGTGTGACAGTAATTAACTCGAATAACATCTGCGGAGACCATGACTGGGGAAAATACAAAGAAAACAAGAGACAGTGCGTTGCAACGGGGCAATCAGAACAGAGTGGGGAAAGGGGAGGAGGGAGGAGTGCAACTAAACAAAGTAGGTGTAGCAATAAAACAGAAAAGGAGAGGGAGGATATTCTGTTAAACCCCGAATTTGGGAAGGAGAAAACACCCGATGACAGCTACACAAGCAAAAAATGCAGGAAAGCAATTATTGCTAGTAAGAAACCAGCAACTGAGAAACAGTCTATTGCATCAGGCCCAATGACAAGGTCTAGGAGCTGAGTGCAGACTCTGACCAATCTATAAAGAGGACTCTCCCACTGACCGGCATTTTGAGCCCTAATGATGTCAGCAGTTGCAGACAAAAGCTAGGCGTTTTATTGGTTTTATTGTAATTTTATTGGCATTTTATTAAATTTTACTAAATTCTTAAGCATTCCCTGGTGCTCACATTTATTTGTTTGGTTTTAAACATATAGATGAGGCACGTAAGATTGGAAGCATATTCACGGGTGGAGAGGGGATATTTGAGAAGGGAGTAAGAATGGAGGAGAATAGTCAGGAACAGCAGGTAGAGCTGTAGATTAGAGGGGGGAGGAAACAGGAGAGAGTGGAGTTGATAGGTATGGAAAAGGGCAGGCAGGAATAATAGGAAAGCAGTTTTGGAGAGGGGAAAGTTTGGGAAGGAGAGTCCAATAGGAACACAGGTCGGTAGATGGGAACAATACGTAGGACAGCAGGCAAGGGAAGGAAGAATGCTGGAAGAAACAGCAAACAGAGCAGTGGATTGGAGAGGGGGGGAGGAAACAGGAGAGGGGGGGACTGACAGGAAAGGAGAAGGGCAGATAAGAATAGAAGGCAGGACGGCAGATTGGGGGGAGGAAAGCTTAAGAAGGAGGATTTAACAGGAATGGATGTTGGCATGTGGGAACAGCATGTAGGAAGGCAGGTCAGAGGAGGAGGAATGCTAGAAAAGAGAGGATGTACAGAAATGGATGAACAACAGGCAAGTCAGCAGATGATGGGGAAGACATTGGAGAGGAGAAGATGGACAGTGGGGGAGGAGGGTAAACAGGAACAGCAGGTAGGGCAGCGGATCAGGAAGGAAAAGATATTGAGGAAGAGAACATCAATAAGAATGGTTGATGAAAGGCAGGAACAACGTGTTCATCAACAGGTGGGAGGGTTGAAGGAAGGGGGGGAAGGATGACAGGAATGGACAAAAAAGGGTGTATGAATCGGCAGGCTGGGAGAGGAGGGGGGTTGGAGGAGGGAGTTGTAATAGGAACTGGCAATGGTATGCAAAAACGGCAGGCAGATCAGCAGCCCAGGAGCATGCTACTGATAACAGCACAGGGAGGAGGAGACAGCACAAGGATGACAAAGCAGGAAAATACAATGTTAGAGTGCAAAAAAGAGAGGGCGGAACAGGCAAGGCTGTCACAGGCAATCAGGAAGAGTGGCCCTGTCACAAGGGCAATGAGTAGGCAATTGGATCAGCAAGGGGATAAAAAGAACTT